CCTAACCGAGTTTTTCCCTCCGGCGTATTCACTTCAAGGCAGACTCATAAACAAATAAAAATTTTATGTTGATACTAATTTTGATTCGAAAATGAATGTTTTTTCAAAGGTGGGCGAATAATTTTTCAGTGAAGGAAAACAGCATATTTTCAGTATTTTTTGTATAAAACAAAAACGAAACGGAATTAAATGGGGTCTATATACTTTGATTAAATTGACTTTTATTAAAATTTTAATTTGATTAAATTTTAATAAAAGTCATTCTTTTAAAAAATTTTTAACAAAAGTCAGTGGGTATTTTTGAAAAGCGCAGTTGTTTTTTTAACGTAAAAAACGGTAGGAATGGTAATTGGTATAGGAAGTGGCAAAAATACAAAATAAGCGGACTACCTCAGTTCTAGAAACCCATGTTTTCTCAATGTCGACGCTCTCGCATTCGAATCCTACCGTACAAGATAGCGAATTGAATTCTGCACAAAATGAGACTAAAGTAAAGTTTACGTCTTTGATGGTCTTTTGTGCAGAACGGTTTACTAACGAAGTATCAAAATTCTTGTGTCAAAAGTGCACCTTAATTTTGATAATAAAAACTTTATAACTCCCTGAAGGACAGCATACTTTTTTATGAGATGTGTACTATTGTGTAGCAGAGAATATGAGGATGTTTTTCTGAAATTTTGGTCTTGGTTCAAGCGTTGTTAATGGAGATATAACGCTTTTACTGACCATGATGTTTTAGGAAAATCATAAAAATTCTTTTATCTTTCGGCTATTTTTTCTACTCTCCTTTGTTCTAGAACATAACGATGATAGATATAGATGCACAGTAAACTCGTCTATCTAATGGCAAGAAGCGTTTTTCAAAACAGTGGAAGGTTATTGAAAAAAAATTTTTTATTCTATACGTATCGCATAGGTATTTATTCATCAAACTTTTTAGTTTTCCCAGGAACCATACAGGTGCAAGGCTTGACAAATATACCGAAATGTGCGCCTTTGAAAACTCTATAACTATCTATTATTATCGTGTTAATTAAATCGTATTTTCTTAACCGGCTGCATCCTTTAAAAATTTCTTTGTATTTTGTTCATTCTATTAATCACATATATAAGTTGTTCTTAAAGAAATCATAATATATTCTTTTGCACAAAGTATATTTCTGTGTGAGTCATTCAAAAGAAATGAAGTGTGTACTCAAAATTTTGTTTGTTTCAAAAAAAGAAGCTATGACTGACTGTTGCATTATATATTTTATCATGATCGGACATAGAAACAAATGCAAAAGAAGAAATCTTGAAGAAAAAGGGAAAAGAAAGTCTGTATGTGCAACTAGCAATAGTTAAATCGATCGATTATCGGGCGACAAATCGATAGTTGCAACTGAGGAGAAATCTAGCAATCGCCCGATTACTAGATTTCCACTATCGTAACGAAATAATTGTAATCGAGTAAAAATTTAGTAATCTACATGAATCGGGCGATACCAGATTCTTTTTATGCTTGGGTAATCGCATGATTTCACGATGTGTAGCAAAGGAGGGGGGCGTACTTGATCCGGCATAGGTTGGAAACAGATATTTTTCTTCCACCTTTTTGACGTTTTTTTACACCGAAGTTGGTTATAGGTCTTCCTGTTTTCTTTTTTACTGAAGTGTTGCGACCGATTAGTTCTTCAGCAATATTGGGTAGAAATTGCAAATATCTCATATTGTCATCTGGATGGTCTCTGCGATAGACCACAAAAGCGTTCGATAATGCCACGTTGAGACAATGGAAGAATATCCGAAGCCAATTGCTCCTTGACTTTCTGTCAATAGCATAATATTGAATTCTTTGAGCAACCCAATCAACTCTAACCTTCCCCAAGTTGTAGTCCTGAATCATTACTGGACAGCGCAGCTGAATTACTTCCCCGTTTTTCAATTTACGAGTAATATTTGACATAGTCCGTGGATCAGCAAAATTAGACATCATGAGAACCGGTTTTCGTTTCATCCATTTGAGAATTGAAATGGAATTGATAGCCAAAACTTTCGCATCACCACGATTCATTTTTATATCGCGGCTAATTTCAGCCGGAATACCTCTTATGTTGGCTCTAAGAGTACCAGTACAGTAAATATCATCTGCCAGAAGATTTTCAACAAGAAACGGTAATATGAAAAAATTATAAAATTGAAATAAACATGATGAAATTTCATTGAGAGTTCTCTGGTCAGTGACCAAACAACATCATCACCTAAAGGCGCCTGTCTTTCTACTGATTTACCAGAATAAATTTCAAAATTATACACCTAACTGGTCGATGTATCGGCTAATACCCAGATTTTGTAGCCACGGTTGATTGGTTTCTGTTTTATATATTGTCTAAGAGAGGATCTTCCCTTGAGCTTGATCACCATTTCATCATTTGTTAATTTTTCGCCCAGATCAAAGTGTGTCTGAAAATTATGTTTCAATAGTTTGAGAAAATTTGATACTTTGTACAGCTTATTGGACGCTAATTCTTTCTGTTTCTCTGCATGTGAGTTATCGACTAAATGTAAATTTCCCAAAATTCTATTAAAACTCTTACACGGCATTGACACGAAAATCCTCTCATTTCGAAAAGACTCATCCGTGGACCAGTAGGAATCAATGGAGGGATTTCTGCAATATCGCATGATGATATTGATACCAATAAATGTTTCTAACTGAGATTTTCCAATATCAACCCAACAAGTGATATCACCTGCTTCTGCATATTTCTGTCGTCCATAGATATTTGTCTGTTCAAGAATGAGATTGAATACTTTATCACAAAAGAGTCTTTTAAACGTTTGACCGTCAGTCGGATGAGTTCTTGAAGCGCAATCCTCACCGCCACAATAAATTTTTTCAATATTGATTTTTTTTACTGTTTTTTACCCGTTTTTCCACAAAAGGGACAGATATCGCCGGATACCCGTGAAACGAGGCATTCACCTTTTTATTTTGCGGATTAGAGTCAATGCATCGGGCGATGTAGCTAGATAAGTCGATACTACAGCAGCAGCAGCATCTAGCTAAATGAGTAAAAAGTATCTAGTTATCTAGCTGCATCTGGTAACATTCCAGCAGACAAAAAGGCGATGCAGGATCTTGATCGTCAAACTAATACGTATGGTGGTAAATAGGCTATAGAATAGCTTAAATACTCTACATTCTGAAGTTTTGAACTCGTTCTGATGTTTAATATTTTGTATTTTTTGATTTTCTCAAAAACTATGAAATTTCTATGACTGGTTCCTGACTCATTTTAAAGAGCAATGTTTACTCTATAAGATCGTGTATTTGGACATAATAATATGTTTAACTATCTAGGACTAAATAATAGAAAACTAAAACGTTTCATGCTTTAAATGCGTTTTCTTCAGTAGTTTTTAGAAAAAGACCACGCATATGGACGTCCCACAATAAATCTAGCTTCGTTTTGTAGAGCAGACAATTCTGCATTGATTCATATATAGTAAGATGCACGGCAGGCAGAATTTTCATGTTTTTTATTTTTTGCCGAAAGACACACCATTCAATAGAGAATTGACCGGCGATCACGAATATGACGTCCTTGTCTTAAAATGTTGAGTAGAGCATCGAAAGTTACATCTAGTTACATGTTTTTTATCTTCATCGATTCATATTAGTCGAGAAAAACAATTTTTAGTATTGTAAAACTGGCGAGAAAATTATGCATCGACAAGACATTTTTCTCCTACTATTCACCAATGAACCTTTTTAGTTTTGTGTTTAACTCTTTATACACTGACTTTGCTTTACTGAGACAAAATGAAATTCAACGTCATCATGTTCTACTTATGGTGATTGATGCCTGCGATGATGTTTTGAAAATTTTGGAAAAATCAATTCTCGAGGTTTTATGTACCCAAATATAATTCTATATTTGGTACACTCTATTTCTTGTTGAGAAAATCAATAAAAAATATTAATTTACACATTTGCAGCATGAGCCTTTGAACTTCGTTTGCGATATAAACAAAGAATGAGCAATGGAACAAAGTAAAATTCTAAAATAGAACAAAATATTACAAACATTTCGAATTGCAGATATCCAATGAAAACGCTTATACATATTATCGATCAAGAAAACAGTGCCATCGGTTGCTTTTTGGATAACCATTGGTAGCAAAGAGCTAGAGAGCTCTGATTTTTGTCATACGAAAGAGAATACTTGAGGCCATGTTTTTATAACCCAAATTATTTACAGAAGTGCTTTTTGAAACAGGTTTTCTAGGAGATCTTTGGAAAACTAGGCCGTCTGTAGAAGTTTCCCAATAGGATTGTATTGCTTTTCTTTCATGGACTAATAGTCTGGAGTGTCCTCCTCAAAATGGTAGTCAAGTGATCAGTTTTTAATAATATAGTGCTTTTTATAAACTTAAACTTAACTTTTATAAACTTTTTATAAAATCCCAAAATCAGCTGTTTCGGAAACAGCTGACAACCAAGGCGGGAACAGGGGAAACACTGTTTCCCCCTTGGTAATGGTAAATCGCCTTCAGAAGTTTAAATGTTTAAAAAGACTTAAGACTTAAAAAGACTTTAAGAAAAATTGTAATAGTTAAAGTAGAATTTTCAGTATAAATCGTTTTGTTGAATATGCACATTAAAGTATCGTTACTTAAGGAAAGCTATTATGTTCCTTTCGAGTTGTTTTTGTTCTATAATCATTGAACTTTGTTTTCAGAAAATAAGCCCTTATTGTGTCATTATAGACCTGACCCATATTTACCCTTGGAGAAATCAACGTTTCACTTGGCTTTTTTTCGAACGTTTTCACTTCGTCGGATGATAGATAAGTGAGAAAAGAATTTTTTTAATTTCGTCCTTAATGTCTTGAATGTTAACTTATTCATATCAATATGTGTCATAAAACAGATAAAAAAGGTAGATATGGTTATAATATATAACACCATATGCGACAGAAGACATGTCTTGTTACATTTGATAATAATAAAAGTTCATGGAGTCATCATCGCCAAGAATAAAAAACGATGGGCATCAATCATTCGTTAGTGGTAGCACTGTTGAGCAACAACAGTATGCTCGACATTTTGCTAATCAAATTGTACCAGATGTTGATATAATGATTGTAGAAGGTCGTATTCATAATCCACAAACCATAATGCCAACATCTGTACCAGGTTTTGTTCAAATTCAATTTGATGGTGTTGAACGTTTAGGCGGATTATCTTTATTTGAAGTAAAACATAACTCGGATGATATAGCATGTTTAAATGGTTTAAAAATGAAACAAAATCTAACAAAAACAGTACAATCCCACATGATACCACAAAATGCAACGACAATCACAATCACTGGTGAAACTAATTCGGAATCTGCAAGTGCAGCTAGAACGATAGTTACAAATACAATCAATATTGACCAAATATTTATGGAAATATTAGATGTAATTGAAATACAACAAAAAGCGTTCAATTTTGTGGAAATGAAAAACAAATATAAATTATTTGGTCCAAAATTTCAAGAATTTACATTAACAAAAGTATTTCCAGTTCATGAACCAGTGATTGAAAAGGGTGATGAATATAGTATTAACGATCTGATCCACCTTGCTGGTCCAGCTTACGATCACCGTCTACCCAAAATATTACGACAACGTCTTGAATTAATTCTTAATTTCTATGATAAATATCAACATTTAGGTAACCCAAAAATATTTAAAAATTGTTTTCAGAATGCTAGTCAACAAATGCCAAAAGAAACTGATAATGTACCCTGTTTACAATTGAAATTTTGGCCAAAGGATATTCAACCATTTCTTAAGCGTTTCGAAGTTAATCGACCACAACTATATGAAAAAATAATTCGAAATTCATCGATGCATGTGATACCAAAATGGTCAACAAAAACACCCAAAATTGACCAAGATATTGAATTTCGTTATTCATTTTCAGCTATTGAACGTTTATTGGCCGAACATCGAAATAAAAATGAACAGATATTAAATGGTATAGCACGTTCGATTTATTTTAGGTGAGTCCTTTTCGATTTAAATTTATGTAGATGATCTTGGCTCCAAATCTCAGCAGCTTATTTTCTATCCAGATTCACTTATTACCATGGTCTAGCTTCTAAATCGTACTACTTCATAGGTTAAAACAAGTACAATCTAACAGTGGGAAGAGGGAGAAGCGGACTCCTGTGGACTCCTGAAGTCCAGGAGTCCAAGTGCAAAGTGTTCTTTTTTGGGAAGTGATTGGGAAGTGACTGCTTGTCAAAACTGCAGAAATACAGAAAAAATTAATTTAGTGCCTTTCTTGTAAATTGTATAACCTTGCAAAGAAAGGTCATGTAGAGCTGGGAGATGTCTCATTTTAATCATAAATTTGCGCGCTACAATGCTGTCTGATTATAAAAGGCTTTTCTCATTCTTTGGAGTCTCTGAAAAACTGGTTTTCCAGAAGACAGGATCTTCGAAGGGCTAAGAGGAACTCCCATATTCATATTCGGAATCAGCATGATCGATAACCTATAATCCACTAGATTTCGACTAAAAAGCGATTGGACACTTGGGACCATTTCCTCGTAAGTAACTAATCTAATTACTTCGTAACTCTCCGGAAGATAACGAAGTAACGAAAGGTTTTTTTAAGGAAAAAGCCATTTTCAGCTGCTTTTTAATATTCTCTATCGTTCTAACGTAGTTAGACTCGGTATTTGTAACATATCATTACTATAAGTTTACATTTTTAGAAAAGTAATTGTATATTCGGATAGTAGCAACTACCTGCCTTTGGGGAATCAGATTCCCCAAAGGCAGGTAGTTGCTTTTTGAATAACTATTGATAGGAATGCGATAGAGACCTACGGCTTTCAGTTTTTTGAAAACTAAACACGTGACCACATATTTCTATGGGCAAAAGCAAGTTTTATAAAACTTATAAAGCGGATTTTCCAGAGAATCTTAAAACTGATCTTTGGAAAACTGGCTTGGATTTTTCCGAAATTCACATAGGAATGCATTGATTTCTTTTCATGAGCTGATAGCCCGAGGTGTTCGCTTCAAAATGAGAGTAAAGTGAGACCTTGATTTTCTGCGGATCTAGCATTGTATCGGATTTCCGACAAGTCCCAGGACTGGCACCCGATGACTTTTAGTAGCCTGAAAGGCGGAGCGACTATGGATAATCGACCATGCTGAGTCTTGTGGCAACATTTGCTTTTATAAAAAGTTTTAAGAATCTACCGAAAAGCCAGTTTTACGAAAATTAGAGTTTTCAGGCTGTTTTCACCTAATATTAAAACTATTCAGTCTAAAAACATCGGAACGCGTTCAAAACCTCAGGATATGATTAATGTTGTCCGCTAAACGTGATTCTAAGATCGAAAAAATGGAAAAACACATGTTCGTTAATAGGTTTTCACGAACCCTTGGAAAACCTTAGGTATTTTAACATCTATTTTGAGATCTTCTATAAACAAGATATAGAATAGCTTAAATGCTCTACATTCTGAAGTTTTGAACTCGTTCCGATGTTTTTAGAGTGAACAGTGAACTTTTTAATATTAGGTTAAAGAACCTGAAAACTTTAATTTTCGTAAAACTGGCTTTTCGGTAATCCGATACAATGCTCTATCCGCGGAAAATCAAGACTTCACTTTACTCTCATTTTGAAGAGAACACCTCGGACTATCAGCGCAGGAAAAGAAATCAATGCATTTCTATGTAAATTTCGGAAAATCTAAGCCAGTTTTCCAAAGATCCTCTGAAAAACTTGCTTCAAAAGTTTTCCAAAACTTGCTACAGAAATATGTGGTCAGGTGTTTAGTTTTCAAAACTGAAAACCGCAGGTCTCTATCTCCTTCCTACCATTAGTTATTCAAAAAGTAACCACCTGTCTTGTATTTTGGAACCGATAATAGTTACTGGTAACGAGTAACTGCTCTAGTTATTTGGTTACTTATAACGAGTAACTAATCTCGTTACTAGTAAAGTAACGGTCCTTACTGAGAACTAATCTTTTTAATATAAAAATTAAGGTACACTTTTGACACTGTAGTTTTGCGTGCGTGAGCAAATCCGTTCTATACAAAAACTGATCAAAGACTTAAACTTTTGTTCTCGGAGAACAATTTGTTTTTTATTTTCAATGTCAGGATTTTTAGCGCAGAGTGTACGGATGGCAGGCTCTTTCAGCAAACTTGGCCATGGAACTATAGCATTGTAAGGATCATGATGTTTTTGAAAAATCAAGAATTTCTTTTAACTTTCGACCATTGGTTTTACTCTCTTTCGTTCACAACATACGGATGACAAGTATAGATGCACAATAATTTCGCCTATCTAATGACGAGAAGCATTTTTCAAAATAGTGGAAGGTCATTGAAAAAAAAGTTTTGATTACACGGATATCACATAGACAGTAATCGATCAAACTTTTTAGTTTTTCTGGAAACCACACAGGTACACAAATATGCGCTATTCAAAACTATAATTATCATGTTCATTAAATCACATTTTATAAACTGGCGTGAATTTTATCTTTTAGGCTAGTTTTTATTTTTATGAAATTAATTGGATAAAGTTTTCACATTCTTTGACCGGTACGCTGTAAAAAATAAAATGTGCCCGGGGCACACTGAATGTGCACATCACGTTGGACTTTTTTGCACACTGAAAACGGCTTGTTTAGTGTGTCTGTAACACAGGTTTTGTTGAACTTCTACCTGGTCCAAGTCCATGAACAAACTAGGGAAAATATTAATAATAGATGCCGACACTTTAAATATGTCCTAAATTCAAACTGATTAAAGATCTTTTTTTACTCAGATATCTAAAAGCTGTTCCAGTAATAATTCCATCATATTTTGTTAAAACAACCGTCTTATGGATGTGTGAAACTCAGGATTTAAGTACGATAAATGATCCGCGTCAAATAGCGCATGCATGGATTAAATTTGCTTGTCAACAGCTGCGTCAGTATTCATGTGAACATTACTTTATTGATAAGTTCAATATTTTGGCACCATATTCTCACCAGCAGTTAGATGATGCACGCCAAATATTGGAACAGGGTGTCAATTTGGATAAATTGGTACAATTCAGTATATTAAGTGAAAAACAACAAATGGTTGCAGAACATAATCAGGAAATAGAATCATTTATTCGACAATTGAAAGTAACATATTTTTTTCAAGATCTTGAAGATTATCGTTTATTAAAGAAATCTTGGGATCATACTGTTATTGATGAGAGAAACGAACTTTACCAATGTTTGTTAATTATCAACAGTTTACGTTACGTCGATGGTGAAAATAATAAACAAAACTGGCGTAAATTTCGTCAGATATTTATTGAGCAAGAAAAAACATGTACCAATGAACCGCTGTTTGGTGAGATGACAACAAGTCCTTCATGTCCACCATCTGAATTCGCTCAATGCATTATGTTTCTTGGCAGTTTCTTAAAAGATCTTAGCAGTACATTCAATGATCCTTCAGTACAGGTTGATCGACCATACGAATATCATCCATTCGATTTAGATGGCTTTAGAAATGTTGAAAAAGATGTGTTAAATCCAGTGAACTTTTTACATAATACAATAGCATCCAGTTTACCAGAATATATGCAACCATTATTTGCTAAAGAACAAGATCTACAAACATCGACGGGTTTACAGTACGCAGAACGAAATCTATTGGATTGTCATCCGAATGGACCTCTTTTGACCATGGAATCCAATCAGTACCCTGACATATTTTCATCAAATTATTTGATAACACTTTTAGAGACTGCCACTGATGCCGATCAGACAATCGATGATTTGATTACTTTTCAGCAACATGAAGTTGATGATGAGAGTTTGCTTTCTCAAGCTATAGAATTATCTTTAATAGATAATGAACACCACCAGTCAGAGATGGGCAAGTCCACTACCAAGTGAACACGACGACGTTTAACTATTAGACTTTGAGTGTATCGTGGCAAGTTTTTTCGAACTAAATTGATGTTATCAAATAAATAATGTTGTCCATGCCTAAGAATGGTTACGGTGAACGTGTTAGGCACTATCTATTAGCGTTTGGCAAAGAATGCCAAAATACCAGTCAAGATCGGACGAATTTCCGTGAGCCGTTGAAAGCACTTCACCATTCTTTCTTGTATACCTCTGCTTCACATTTTTTTATCGCACCTGGACAAAGTCTTGTTGCAAAGAAAACGTTCAGCTGAATTTTCGCTCAAGCTACTCAGCTTTAACATGATTGAGATTACTTTTCTTGCATGCTTATTAATTATGCTTAGAAGATGACGTCAGTTTAAGTTATTTGTTCTTTTCACACACTCTCTATACTATTTAGAAATTATAGAAATATTAGAGGACAAGAAAACACAATAAACTGATCAGATTTATGCTTATCGTCATCTTTTACTATTCAGTCGTTTTCTACGACAACTATATAGCTGTAACTTAATGATCGTAATGTTGCTTGGTAAGCCTCTGAATTCAGTCTCCGATAACTTTATACTCGATTATTGGAACACGGTCTCACGCCAGTAAGATTAAAATGCCTGGAGAACTCTTGTCATTTGTTCATCAAAAGTTTGATTTATCCGAGTTGCAGATTCTTTCATAACACGTTTTTCAATTTAAATAATACAACTTAGTTTTGGATCGTGCATTGAATAATGAATACCGTTGATCAATTCCACTAGTAACATTCTCGGTATTAAAGGGCAACACTAAATATAAAAACTTTAGTACAATTGCGACTGCAACACCCTTAACTCGGCTTACCATGATTAAGAGTTTATTATCAATAAAATTTCTTATACACGAATTTTCGATCTATTTATACGATCATTGTCAAGTG